TCCTGGTGTGAAGGGGTTAATCTGGCCCATGGGTGTTGTCTGGTTTCAGTGAGGAAGTCACCGGCCGGGCACCGCAACCATAAAATCTTATCTGATGGAGGATCCGGCACTGCCGTCCTCTTGTAAATCATTTACCCGACGCCGCCGGAAAGCAGAGCGATGACGACATTTATCTCTGATGAGTCTGCTGTGGATTCCTATGGTGTCCTGACCCGACCCAAAACTGTCATGGTTTCCCCTCAGATTCAGGAAATTCAGAGGGAGAGCGTTGGAACCGCGAGGGCAGACTCTGGCAAGACTTTCACCAGGACTGGGGGGCCGGAGTTTGCCTCCATCTGCTTTCGTGTTCCATTATTATGAGTTGTAATGGCGTCTGGACTCTGGACCGGCACCTTCTCCCGCCGCCTCCCACCTTCTCCCGCCTTCCACCACTGCCTCCCACCTTCTCCCGCCTTCCACCACCGCCTCCCACCTTCTCCCGCCGTCTCCTTGGTCTGTAGTCTGAGATTGAAGCTCCACACTGAGAATTCATCGTCCAGATATAGATTATGATGAGACACACTGCCAATTATCCAACGTGTTTCGGGAGCCACAAAACTATCCTTCATCAGGGCTGTGAAGATACAACGGACATAATATCTAATATTTCAATGTGTAGAGTATAAAAGATCTCTTCCTTCTCTGTGTGTGATATGAATATACAATGTATACGCTTCACAATGTTATATTAGATTTATACTTTGTTTCTACATTATAAATTAGATTAAATCGTGTGTACAGTTCGTACAAATATACCTTCTATCTATCATAATATATTCATACACTATATTGCCAAAAGTATTGGCCCCGCCCCCTCCCAATCATGTGACTCAGGTGTTCCGTGACATTTCCCGGCTCCTAAATATTCCGCCACGGTCACCTGTTACTGGTATTATAACAAAGTGGAAGCAACCGGGAACAACAGCAACTCAGCCAGGAAGTGGTCGGCCGCGTCACATGACAGAGCGGGGTCAGCGCATGCTGAAGCGCGCAGTGCGCAGAAGTCGCCAACTGTCTGCAGAGCCAATAGCCACAGACCTCCAAACTCCATGCGGCCCTCAGATTGGCGCAACAACAGTGCGCAGAGAGCTTCATGGAATGGGGGCCGAGCAGCTGCATCCAAGCCGCACATCACCGAGTGCAATGCAAAGCGTGGGATGCCGCGGTGTAACGCACGCCGCCACTGGACTCTAGAGAAGAGGAGGCGTGGTCTCTGGAGGGACCAACCACGCTTCTCTGTCTGGCGATGGGCGTGTCTGGGTTTGTCGGTAGCCAGCAGAATGGTACTTGCCTGACTGCATTGTGCCAAGTGTAAAGTTTGGGGGAGGTGGTGGAGTTGGCTCCGCCCCTAAGTTCCAGTGAAGAGAACTCTTAAGGCATCAGCACACCAAGACATTTTGGACAATTTCATGCTCCCAACTTTTCTGATGTGTGTAGAAGATGTTCTGTCCCCTTCGGGAATGTCTGAGGCTGATGATACAATTCTTTCTTCTTGCAGGTAAACAGCTCCTTCCATTATCTAGCAGCGTGCACAGCGGCGTGGGCCAGCCAACATGGCAGCCTCCAGGGGAGTCGTCCAATCTGGTCCGGATGAGGAACCAATCTCTGGGGCAGTCGGCCCCTTCGCTAACCGCCGGCCTGGTAGGTTTCCATATGAATTGATGTGACTGGTGCCGCGTCCTGCCCACGTCCCCCC